GTGACTTGCTGCCTACAATCCTACTGTCCTCTGCAGCTTCCCCAGTGTAAGTAGATTAGAGAGAGCACTTCTCTGTTATGGTCTGTCTAGGTCAGCTTTGTATAAAACTATCCAGCTTAGGAAGCTGCTGTTTAACACTCTCATCTTGGAACAACATAACTGCAGCATAAGTAGGAAAATATTTCATCACTGTACATCTCTGTATGACACCCAAACGCAACCCAGAATTTTACAATAACCAGCCTTTCAGAATTTGACAATTTATCTTTTTCACTTCAGAACAGACTCATATCATTGCTACTGTTCTTTCTGTAGGTAATTAACTTTCTGAAACCTGAAAATATCGACAAGGCATATTGCCAAATTACCCAAAGGGCTTCAATAGATCAAATAGATTTAAATTTGGGGTGCTGTACTTGAAATAAGGCCTGCCATGAATCCTGTAGAACAGCTTCCCACCAAAGCTGAAAAATACTATAACTACACTGTACAGCACGGAACACACTCCATGTTATGATAAACTTGAGCTGGACATGGGAGACCAGTTAAGGTGCCCCACCACCACCCTCCAGTCCTTTCATTTCTAGGAAGGCTAATTGATTCAGGTACGCCATTGTGTGAGTGTGCCAACACACAGAACTGACTCTGTGTACTAACAAGTAACAGTGCCTCAACCAATAAACTCTCCCAGTATTCAAAATAATGAGGAGTGCAACAGAGACACACAGAATTGCCCCGTTATGGTTCTCTACCCAAGGCGTCTCAATGTTCCATTTTTTCCCTAACACTGAGCCACAGGAGATGGTACAGCAGGGCCTCTAGCCACAGTTCTGGGTTACAAAAATAAACGTACAGTCCATCATAATTTTTTTTCTGAGCAAGCTTGTTTGGTTTTATTTGTCCCTTCTTATCCTCCCTTTCAGAAAAAAAAAATATATGAAAATATCACAGAACAAATAAGCTCAGAAAACACCAAACCATCTATTTAACTGTTCAAATCAAATACCACCTTTAAACTAGTTTTCTCGGCCCTCTTGGACACATACAAAGCAGTATAACATAGCAGGCCTCAGGCTACCAATATACTGGGCTTTGCTCAACAGCTTCTGTATTACAATAATTTTCTAATGACAAAAACATTGCGATTCTGAAGCATTTTCCCATTTACCTCTGACCCAATCTTGGCACCATGGATTGATCCATACCTCCTTCCCTCAACAACTCCAACATGACTGCCTTCAGCGTACCCCTCCTGATACCCCTCACCATGAAATCTGTAGACAGAAGAATAAGGTTTTAGTGTGTATTTTCATTTCATATGAAACCCACGCTGCACACAAGCAACTCACAGGAACAAAACCGTACTGTATCATCTAGGAAATGCCATTGGCTGTATATAATAATACTGCCTAACACCGATTTCAATTAAGATGCAATTACAAACACTGTGACCTCTTCAAACAAGTTTATAATAATTTGCCAGGAATAACGCACTCTGCCACGCAGCTCAGTACTCTCACCAGAGTAACACAGCTAACTACAAGCTCACAACTCCGGGTCAAGTTTCCCCGCGGTGAAAGAACCGAGACTGAGAGGGCTGGTTGCTCGGCAAGAGCAAAGAGAAGAATTTCCCCCGTCCTTCTCCTTCCTCTCCCCTTCCCCGGGCTCATCATCCGCCCTTCACCCCTCACTTTCTCTTTTCAGCCCCTACTGCCGGCGGTGTAGGTGTAGGTGTAGGCCCAGGCCCAGGCCCAGACCCAGGCCCAGGCCCAGGCCCAGTGCTCCCCTCCCTCCCACCCCCTAGGCCGACTGTCACCCGCGGCCAGCGAGGAGTCTCGCTCCGGTCCTGCCTGCCCCCCGAGGTCCCCGGTCAAGGCTCCCCCACCAACTCCCCCTCTCCTCAGCCATCACG